AGCTGATCAACGGTCCTGGAGGGGCCACGGGGGAAGTTTCCCACGGGAAACTGTAAGCAGGGAGACACTGCTGTGTACGGGGTGCTGGAGGCTAAACCGTGAGGCAGGGGCCCGGGATTCCAAAACGGATAGAAGAAGGAATATTCATCAGACATGACAGCAGGGGAGGGCAAGAGGTCCTGCTGAGCAGGATGGTATGGTGGGCGGTGCAGGGGGGCATGGGCTTGGGCTCACAAGCCTCCCAGATGCAGAACTGCTGGGAGCGCCCGGCCGGCTTCACCTTGGGCGGCCCTGGGTGTGAAGGAAACACGAGCTTCACGTGCGGCATCTTCAGACACAGCGAGTTACCTACCCTGCCTTACACGATGTGTTACCCGGTAGTTCACTCGCAGAAATCCACAGCAACATGCTGCCTTGAGTGTGTCCTGTCTAGTCAGCCTGCAGACACCTCTTCCAGAAAGAGAATTCAATCGTAAGGAACTCAGGGCACTGCTGGGTGGAAGGAAGAAAAAGTCTTAGAACAGGCTGACTGGGTTTCAGTCCTGAACCCATCTACACCCCCGTTTTGCTGCTTGAATTAGCTGATTTAACCTCTCTGAAAAACGGCTTTCTCTTCTGTAAAAATAGGAGTAATAAGGCAGCCTGTAAGGCTGTTGTTAGAACAAGAGAGAATGCATGGAAAGTGAGCAGAACAATGCTTGGGACGTGAGCTTTTCCCTATTTTTAAAATACATATATTAATAGTCATACTTGGTAATAATAAAACAATAATTTTCATATGAGTATCAGCGTTAGACTTTAACTTTCTAACTTCATTTCAAGTTGATCAGATCCGTAAAAACAACTGATTTATGGCATCACCTGGAGACTATAGTTTCCACCTGTGGCTTTTCTGTTGCTCAGAAGCACATGAACGTTTCCCTTATTTTTTTATTAGACTTCTCAAGTTTCATCTCTTTAGTAGGGAAGAACTAGCTTTTAAAAATCTTCTTATGCTTTGTAGTTGTAAAAGGTATGTCTTAGTTTCTGTACATCTTAGAGACCATGAGAAAGCTTAAAATTGAAGTCTCTGTAAATTTTTTCTTTCTCATTTGAACCCCCATCTATGAACTGACTTAACATATGAGTGGGGCCAAACTCCCTTAGGAGCCTGAGAAACTGTCATTCCTCCATGTCTTGGTCCCTGCTTATCTCTCCCCTGTAATCTACTCCATCTGAAGAACATGATCCATAAACCTATAAACGTGTTGGGATTGAAATAATTTTTGTACACAGGCTCCCACACCCTCCTCCTGAGGCTCATTGGACTGGCTTTTTCTGTGCCCTGTTTTCCTCCCTCCAACCTCAAAGGAGGATCCTGCCGTTGCCAAACTCATTTTTAGGACTTTGTGGGGCAGAATTATGAGGAGGATTGGCAGGATAAAAGAATGGAACGTTCTCGTGGAGCTGGGCGGTGGAGATTGCTGAAGTCTGAGCAGCAGGGTGTGTGCGGAGGAGCAGACGGGAGAGGAAGGGGGGTGTTGTGAAGAAACCCATAAATTTCTTGCAACTCATGTTTGTTCCAGAAATGAAAGTAAAGACTTGCTGTTACTTGGAAATTAATTTTTGATGGCTGGGTTGTAGTCGTAGGACTGTGTCATTATTCTGAGACTGAACCATGTGGGTCATAATTTTCCTAATTAGTCTTAATAAGGTTATATAAATTCAAATGAGAGTAAGCCACAATGACAAAAGCCACTTGGAGAGATGGTTGGAGGTTACTATCGCCTACAGAGACCTGGATTAGAGAGACAGCTTAGGTCTGTGGTTCCCAAATCTTAGGATACATGAGACTCATTTATTAAGATGCCAACCCTTGAACCCCATCCCAGGTAGTTTTGATGCTGTTGTTGGGGCGGGAGGAGGTCTAGGAAGCCACATATTTCATTGTCCCCTAGTGATTCTGATGCAGAGTTTATGAACTCCACTCTGGCTCAAGGCCAAGAAGTGTCAGACTTCTCCGGACAGTTCTACGTGCCACGGGGGCTCCTGTAATTCAACCACACAAGTATAGACAGTGTTCCCTTGGGTCGCCCCAGAGAAAAGTCTTGGACATTCTCTATTGCATGCTTTGTGTCACATTTGCAGACGGCTCACCTTCTCTGTGGCTCTTCAATCTCCCCCTCCCATCCTTGAAACTTATAGATTAACTGAAGACAAGAATTGTTTTCTTCTGTTTTACAGAATAAGCGTTTACTTTATAACCCTCTCCAATACAAGCT